TTGTACTCAAAAATATGAAAAATTTAAAAAATGGTTCAAATATACAGTGTAACCCGGATATAAGAGAGTTGTCGGGACCGGAGAAGAAGTCTCTTATATCCGAGTTTCTCTTATATCCGGGTTTGGTCTATTTTATATACATTAACACAGGCTCTAATTTGGGACCAGAGAAAATCTCTCTTATATCAGGGTTTCTCTTATATCCGGGTTACACTGTATATATATATACATACACACCTTTTTTTACCGGATTATCGCTATGAATCTATTTCAAAATTTTGTTGGCATTAAATGACCCACTGAGGTTTTGATATGCCATAAAACAGAACAACCAAACAACTAACGTTTGCTACTACCATCACTCAGCTGCTGACAAACTGCACCTCAGCAGAAGTGGAAGAAGTTGCATAACAATATAAGTGGGGGTTGTCTTCTTTTTATTATCCAACAGAAATTACTCGTATATAAATTAGGGAATACACAGACTGGCAATTCAACTTACATCTTTTTCTTGCCAGCACTTCGATACACCAGAGATTTTTAGAACAAACCTCCTGTCTTTGTCGCCACCATCTTCCTCTGGTATAAAAACCAAGTCATTTATTCCCGGCATTCTCATAGGCTTCCGGGTTTCTGTTTCAACTGGCCTCGCGTCAAACGTACGTTCACCCAGCTGCCAAGCACGTGAAGCCGCCGCATGGCTTTTGCCAAGTTTCGCAAATTAATGTTTCACTGGCTTCACTAGCTCGATGAGAAATTAGAGTCGAGACTGGTTAATTGAAGGGCAACAGCCCAGCTGAGATCAAATGCTACAGCTTTTCACTTTCTTAATCTTTAACTTTTAGGAATGGCGAATGTCAGTGTGTCACTGTGTCACGCTTTTTTAAAAAAATTACTCCTAGAGGCCGTAGCTCAACGTTCAATACGATTTTGGAATCAGGCCGACTCCGTGAGCAAATTAAAAACGTCCCGGTTTGGATCCAGACCCCCCAATCCTGAAATTATGGATTCCCAAGTTTTCATTACTGCGATTGTTTTCGGCGATATTTTTACGTGAAATTTAGCGATTTTTTTTTTTTTTTTTTACGGTAACAATTTTTATAACTTGGAAATAAATTTGGGAATAATTTAAATTAATTGCTAAAGTTACCGATAAAATAAAAATAATTGTTTTTACGGAAAGTAAGGACCTACGTACATCAAATTCTTTAAATTAAATGGCGGTAGAAGAATTATCGTTGAACTTTTAAAAGGTAAGCTTAAATAATAATGCAATACTTAAATGCAGCGATCAATTTTGAGTTCTTCTTTAATTTATTCTTGCCTATCGCATCTAATCCTCCATATCTATTGCGATAAAGGCCCAATCAAAAGTCCTCCATAGGAGCTTGCTTAAATGCTGCCCGATAGGGCGGATTTTAAGCCAGTATATATATAAAACAAACAGTATATATTTAAAACAACACCCCTGCCCGCACACACAATTCCGTAAAATACTTGTCGAAAACACAATTATACTTCGACATGAAAACAATAGACAGAAACTAAAAATCCTTGAAGCATTATACATCAAACAGTTGAAACCCAACCTAAACAAAATCAACTATGGAATCTCTACAAATATTCTTAAATGTCTATAATTGATAACAGAAGCCATTGGTTTATACCAACGGCTTCCCATACTTCATACTTCTCCAATTCACTCTCGCGTGGTCATTTGTGACGTCAGGAGCTGCGGTGCGATTTTCGCTTCTAGCGTCTTATATGCACGTGTTTATCGTTGCTTAGAAATCATCTATGTAAACAATGACAGACTATCATCACTGTCTTGTCCGTATATTGCTTAATATGTTGTAATTGACATCTTTGATAATGGCTTATGTAAGCCGAAAGCTTAGATTGGATTAAAAAATATGGATCAATATTGTGAATTTCTTTCTTCGTTTAATGATAATGTTATTAAACTTATCAGACGTTATGAAAAGAATTTACATAAAATAAATAGACAACACTCGTCTATATTATTTAATGAAACGTGTATGAATATATATATATATATATATATATATATATATATATATTCCGTTTTATCTATCTAATTCTGTTTTCATGCATCTGTCTATCTCAGTTCATTACTACCTATCTTTCTATCCACCTTAGTCTGTTATCATCTAGCAACTTATGTAGCTACCTATCTACTTCCATGTCTATCTACCTCAGTTCATTTTACCTATCTGTTTTCCATGTCACTCTCTTCATATCTATTAAAGTATGTTCATCTCTGTCTCTCGAGGAAGCTAGCTATCTCAGATTATTCATATTTCTCTGTGTCTGTCTGTCTGTCTCTCCCTCTCCCCCCCTCTCTCTCTCTCTCTCTCTCTCTCTCTCTATCTCTATATATATATATATATATATATATATATATATATAGCTAGTTAAGCTTCAAGATAGGACATCTAACCTGTAGACCTGTTTAACAGGTGTAATATTGGAGGAATCGAGACTTTTATCATACAGTCTCCGTTACGCTGGACTGGTCATGTCTTGAGAATGTCTGAAGACAGGATACCCAAGATCCTAATGTACAGCCAGTTAGATCAGGGCTACAGGAATGTAGGACGCCCATGGCTAAGATACAAAGACAAGCTGAAAAGCAACTTGTCAGCAGTCAATATACCACATAACACACTTGAGCGCTCAACTTTGGAGCGGGTAGAATGGAGATCAACGTGTTTTAGTGGACTCAGCAATTTTCAATCTGCTTGTCAAGAAGCGAGAGCAAGATCTAAAAGGTCAGCCAATCAAACAGTGATCTCATCTCACAATCCTCACATCCTTGCTCCAATGCTCCAATGCTCCATATGCGGCCTCACTAGCGGGTCTTAAATCCCACTTAAGATTATCGCATAAACTTTCATAACTGAGTCAATAAGCTGGCAGATCCTATTAGTCGAAACCGACGGGAGAGTCCATTATTATAATATATATATATATATATATATATATATATATATATATATATATAATTTGTATATTTCTTTTTCTTACTTATGTAGTTAAGAGTGCTCAATTTTAAAAGAGTTTTTTAATACACGTAAAAATAACAATTTTTTGATTGCTTACCAAATCTCAGTTTGTTTCATTCAGTTTTTCTTTCTATGCGCCGTGTCCTTTCAGGACGTAGGTGATCATGGCTCTCCACCACTTTCTATTCTTTGCAGCTTCATTCAGTATTGTTTTTTTTTTTTAAACGGGCGCTTGTTTAGCTTGGACGCTCCCGATCTCTACAATTCTTTTTCGCGTTTTTTAAGGAATTCGACAATTCGAAATAATTTCATTCCTTTTCTTCATTCACGTTCTTCAATTCAAAAAATCTTCGGTCTCTCCTTCGTTCATAGACTCCAATTCATTCTTATGGTTTTCTGCATTTTTTTTTTATTTTATTTTATCGCATTCTACTACTGGTGTTTGCTCTTTCATTTTTAATTTCTTTATGAAACATCTGTATCTCCTTCTTCTTCTTCTTCTTCTTCTTCTTCTTCTTCTTCTTCTTCTTCTTCTTCTTCTTCTTCTCTTCCTCCTCCTCCTCCTCCTTCTTTTTCTCTTCCTCTTCCTCCTACTTCTTCTTCTCTTCCTCCTCCTCCTTCTTCTTCTTCTCTTCCTCCTCCTCCTACTTCTTCTTCTTCTCTTCTTCCTCCTCCTCCTTCTTCTCTTCCTCCTCCTCCTCCTACTTCTTCTTCTCTTCTTCCTCCTCCTCCTCCTTCTTCTTCTTCTCTTCCTCCTCCTCCTACTTCTTCTTCTTCTCTTCCACCTCCTCCTACTTCTTCTTCTTCTCTTCCTCCTCCTCCTCCTCCTTCTTCTTCTTCTCTTCCTCCTTCTTCTTCTTCTTCTTCTCTTCCTCCTCCTCCTACTTCTTCTTCTTCTCTTCTTCCTCCTCCTCCTTCTTCTCTTCCTCCTCCTCCTACCTCTTCTTTTCCTCCTCCTCCTTCTTCTTCTTCTCTTCCTCCTCCTCCTACTTCTTCCTTTTCTCTTCCTCCTCCTTTTTCTTCTTCTACTTTTCTGATTCTTCTTCCTTTTTTTCCTCTCTTCTGCCTCCTCCTTTTCTTCTTCTTCTTCTTCACCTTTTTTCATCTCCCACTTTTCTAATTCTTCTTCCTTTCCCCCTCTTTCTTTTTCTTCTTCTTCTCCTCCTCCTCCTTCTCCTTCTTCTTCTTCTTCTTTTACTTATCTAATTCTCCTTCCTCTTCTCACTCCTTTTCTTCCTCTTCTTTTTCTTTTTTCTCCTTCACCCTCATTCTTCTCTATCTATTCTTTTTTCTTTTTCTTCGTTTGTAATTCTTTTTCCTCTCCTCCTCTTCTTCCTCCTCTTCCTTCTTCTTTTTCTTCTCCTCCTCCTTCTTCTTCTTCTAATTATTATTATTATCATTATTATTATTATTATTCTCAGCAGTGTTCGTCTGTCTTTTAAATTCTACTAACAATTCTATTCTTCATGGCCTATAACTGACCAATTTTCTTCCTTACCATACTTTCTTCTCCTCCTCTTCGTTATTTTAGACGAACGATTTTTTTCCTTTTTCTCCTTCTTCATCATTCATTCCACATTCACCCCTAACCCTCACTTCAATCGACTTTATATATATATATATATATATATATATATATATATTTTAATTTTTTTGCGTTCTTTGGTCTCATTTTTTCCACATATTTTCCTTCCAAATTTTATTTTTCTTTCGTTTATTTACATGCTTTTTCTTCTCTTTTTCAATCGTTTTTTTTTTTTTTTCTTATTAAATTTTTTTCCTCCGATCTTTTTTTGTCCGCCATTAATTTCTTCCGGCCAACGTATAACGGATTTGTCTTTTTGACTCTATCGTCTGCGTCTTTTTCTAATCCTTCACACAAAGCCGATCAAACATGACACCATCACAAGAAAACCGGTTATAACTGAACATCGATATCTGATCAGTGATTGATTTTTTTTCTCAGAGTGACAAATGCAATCTAATTGCGTTTTTTTTATCACCATCTTGTCAGTGTTTTTTTTTTTTTTCGGGCATCGAATATTTGATCTTTGATTTTAGCTATATATTTTTTTTCTTTATTTATTTATTTTTTGCATAATTATTCATATTGGTTTTTATTTTCACTCGCTTCTTTCATTTCTTTCTTCATTTTTTCTATTCTTTCTTTTTATCTCATTGGTTTTTCTTCTCATTTTCTTTCCTGCTTTCTTTTTTTTTCTTCATTTTCTTTCTTCTTTAACATTGCTTTTTCTTTACGACTTTCCTTTCCTCTTTTTCCTTCTTTTCTCTTTTTTTTCTTTTTTTTTTTACTGTTTTCTTTCTATCGTTCATTCTCTTTTCATTTCTATTTTTTTTTTCTCTTTTTCATTTTCTCTTTCGACATCCATTTTTTCTTTTCTTTTCCTGTCGTCTTTTCCGTGTGATTCATTCCTCTTCTTCTTCGCTTTCTTTCTTTTTTTCTCTTATTCTTTCTTCGTTTTCTTCTGTTTTTCTTTCTTGATTTTCTTTTGCGTTTATTTCCTATTTTCTTTCCGTTTTATCCCACCTTCTAGAACGGCTACCTCATCCCCGTTGCAGACGCCTTCTCAGGCACATTTGTGTTTGTTCAACACCCACAGAGCCCACCTATGCGTTATACTACAATGGAACTTAGCTAGAGTCCCTGGGAAAATGGCCTGGTCAATATTTCTTTTTAACAAGGACAGTAAAATATCGATATCGATGACTTTGTTTCACCTACCGAATTTCATTTATACAGTTTGGGTTGACCTCTGTTATGGTTTCAGAAAGTTTCCAACGGTGTCACACCTTTTGATCCCTTCCGCAAACCCGATACCATCAACATGTCAACATCCTGACAAATCGACATGGTGAGATTGTTTCAAACTATTTGGCCAGGCGTCCATATACAGGCTGTCCATAAAGTTTGTGTGCACTTTAAAAAATGTATAACTTTATTTGTATTTGCGATAGAAATATTCTGTAAAAAATGTTATAAAGTTTAATGTACCTAGTTTTAAGTATAGCTAAAATAACTAATGTGATTTAAAGCATTACTGTAAATCAGTTGGCAAATGTTTTCCGTGAACTGCAAAATCGTATTACCCTTTGTATTGCTAACTAGCAGTAGAGCCCGGCGTAACAGTAAGAGATAGATCAAGTATCGACCATCATAAAGACTGAAAAATAAAATTGGCAAAGATTATTGTTTAAGGTTGACGGACACGCATGTCTTAATTAGTTTTTTTGTTTTTTGTTATGTTTTTGTTTTTTGCGAATTGGTCAAACTCAAACAAAAACATTGTTTTCAATCGTTATAAGTCTACCGATTGAATAGAATTTTATTATAAACAATTGTCTGGTAAATGGAATTTTTAAAGCATTCTGAATGTAACAATAAAGAAAAAAGTGTGCAAGACAATACGAAACACTACCTGCCAAAAAAAAAGTGAAGTTTTGTTGAAATCGGTTGAAAAATGTAGGAAATCCGATCCCATATATAAACGAACACACACACACACAAACAACCTGGGTTTTATAAGTATAACTCGATATGAGTTGTCCCCCTTTCATTCTTGCGACAGCGGTGCTTCTTAATCGTGTTTTCAAATTGATTTCGTGCAAAAACAATTGTGTTTTTCCAATTTTTTGGCACTGTCAGAACCACCGCAAGGTAATTTTACATAGTCCTGTGAAGTTTAGTTGAAATCGGTTGAAAAATGTAGGAAATCCGATATATAAACGAACAGACACACACTCATACACACAGCCTGGGTTTTATAATAAGTATGATGATGGAGGACATGGGGAAACTTAAATAAAATTTCAATAAAACCTTAAAAAAATATAGATTTACTTCTTTCTAATCCTTTTTATAAATTATTAATACAAATAAAGTTATAAATTTCTTGAAATGCACACGAACTTTATGGGCAATCTCTCTCTCTCTCTCTCTCTCTCTCTATATATATATATATATATATATATATATATATATATATATATATATATATCCTGTTTAGGTTGGGTTTGTTTTGTTTTGCGGCATATCTTTTAATCGTTTAATGCCGACAACTTTTTTTTTTTTTGGTAATATTTTTGTTTTGTCAAAAATCTATTCCTGCTAATATTTTTTCCTCAAAAACGTATAGCTAGTAATATTATTTTTTCAAAAGCGTATAGCTGGTAATACTTTTTTTTCAAAAACGTATTGCTGGTAATCTTTTTTTTTTTTTTTTTTTTTCAAAAATTCATTTCTGGTAATAATTTTTTACAAAGCATTTCTGGTATTAAAACCTATTTTTACAGTTTTATAATGCTTTTTACCTCAGTTTCGGGGTTAACTAATTGCCCAAAGCTGGGACCCTAACAGGTGCTACCACCCCGTATCCCGGCGGGGCTGGGAACACCAGCAGTTAAGAGGTGGTTCCACGCTCCTTAAAACCTCCTGATCAGAGGCCTTGCTGTTGGACGTAGTTTATCGTCTTACCCAGGACGCGGATGTAGTTTATCGTCATACCCAGGACGGGTCCTGTTTCGTTCGTGTTTATATATCTAAATATGTGTAAGTGTTTGTGTATTATAATCTGATTGCATATGTACTGTCTTTTGGCAAGATTTCGTATTCCCCTGACCATATCAGCACTTCAAATGTATCTAAGTTGTATACGATGTTATACATCGCAATTAGATTAACTGAGATTTTGGCTTTTCAATTAAAATAAATAATAAGATATATGTATTTTATCCTGAGTCTCTTCTTTAAATAACTTTAAATTTTAAACTTAATACAGACTAAATTTAAAATTGGTAATTTTTACCTTTCAATTTACTTTTCAATATATATATATATATATATATATATATATATGTATCGGAGAATTGATGCTTCTTGCTATCACTTGACATTCAGTCAATATATATATATATATATATATATATATATATATATATATATATATGTGTGTGTATGCATATATATATATATATATATATATATATATATGTGTGTATGCATATATATATATATATATATATATATATATATAAAACAGATACGGAAACCTACCAAACTCTATTCTCAACATACTGTAGAAAATACTAGCATAATATCCTAATGCATATTAAAAAATCCAACACTCAATATCAAAATGAATACGGCTATAATATGCTTTGACCATGTTTGGGAAATAAAACATTCATATAACTCTAGCTACATATATATATATATATATATATATATATATATATATATATATATATAATAAAAGCATACTTTCCTTTAAAATAAGAAATAAAAATCATCCCCAAAAATAAATAAGAGAATAGCCGAAAGCGCTCGGTTATGCAGGACATTTGGATATGAAAATTTGATGATAATAAAATTTCATATTTCATTTTATATTTCTATTCTATGTAATATATATATATATATATATATATATATATATATATATATTAGATAGAATAGAAAGACAAAATTACATCACTCAAACAGCTATTTCAGTCCACAATATTTACTTGTTGGCCTTGTCAACTCAGAGATGTTAGGAAATGAAAAAAATATATATATATATATATATATATATATATATATATATATATATATATATTGAAAAACTAAGTAAATAGTTAAAGAAATAACCAAACAAGTGTTGCAGATATATTGTATATTAAACAGTAAGTACAACAGTAGAGTATTACACGACTAGTGAGTGTGTGTCGGTTGACCCAGCGTTCAATCTATTCGACTGTTCCTCCAAGGCCTTCTCTCCTACTAATCTTATAGTAGGCGGAAGAGTTCAACATAGACTCTTTTGAGGGAGGACACCACAACATACACACACACACACACGCACACACACACACACACACATATATATATATATATATATATATGTTATTTATAAAAAAATTATAACATAAATATGTGATACAAATCACTACAAAAAAATGTTATAATTTTTTTTTATAAATAATAATTATATCTGCTCTACTTTGTATTGAGCACTCTTTTAAGTATAGTAATTGTTGGTTATTGGAATTCATTCCGTATACACTAATTATATACTTGGTTTTATATATATATATATATATATATATATATATATAAATTCACTTTTATATTTACACACGCTCTGTCTCTGATATTGACCACTTTATCCCATAAATATAGTACACCTTAAGACTATATTTTTATATTTATATATATATATATATATATATATATATATATATATATATATATATATATATATATATATATATATATATATATATATATATTATATATATATATATCGGATAATTAATACTACTTGTCTATATATCCATCCATAGCGAATACCACCAGGTACTGAATGGTTTAATAATTATGGGAGATTTTAGGATAGTTTTGGAGTTCTTTGTATCCATGCGAACGAACAGATTGAATTCATCCACGAATAGCATGAATGATTACAATTCGTCTATTTTCGTCTCCTTTTGCTATTGCCAGTTGTGCATTTAAGACGCTCCTTATATGTTGTTCGCAGTAAATGAAGAGTCTTTCTGTCATCTGAGACGAAGAATCGTCGACATCAATCAGTCAGTATCGACTGATTTGGCGTCGTTGGGCCGAAAGTCGATTTCCCAGCGAGAGACTCGCATCTATTCTCAAAATCCTCTGCCATATGTCTCTGGCCTGTGTTCGCCACCATGATGAACGATTGGAACCGTTTCATTAATAAAGAATCAAATGTTGGTGTGGCATATTTGAGGCATTAGTTAACAAATAAATGACAAATGAGAAAATTCATAAAAATCACTGAATTAACATGATGGGGATGGAGGACGTCGTTACGAATGGAAGAGAAAACAGGACGGGTAACAAATATTATCCTAACATTGGCCGAAAAATAACAGCTATTGATCAAACATGAAATTCGTCGAGATAAACTCTCACCCTCTGTACCAATATAGGGAAGACGCAGATAAACTAGGCATTTATCAACAAAATGCTGCTTAACCCTGTGAAATTTACTAATGGCGTCTTGGATAACGGAGTCTAAAACATCCTTAGAATATCCGTTTGAGGGTGAGAGTTTATCTAGACGAATTTCACGTTTGATCAATAGCTGTTATTTTTCGACGAATGTTAGGATAATATTTGTGACACATCCTGTTTTCACTTCCATTCGTAAGGACGTCCCCCACCCCATCATGTTAATTCATTTATTTACCAATAGAAGTGTAGTTGTGGACTCGACTACATAGGGAGGACGTCCCAGCGTTTGGATTCGAGATTAAAACAACATTTACCCCACCCCCCGGATTTTTTGAATCCGGTTGCCAGGAAGAGCCAACTAACCAATAGTTCTGGCTCTGCTATTTCTGGGCATATAATAAATAGTAGGAAATGTTTGGTTAATTTTAGTTCGGGTCATTTTTTTTTTATTTTATTTTAGGTCCTACTCCACATTTCACCTGAAGTTTCTAGAGTCCTTGTATATCAGATCCTGTGGGCCTTCCCTTTGTAAACAGACGGAATGCTTATGTTATTGGACTCTAGATTCTTGAAATTTAATTTTTTTTTCTCTTCCATTCATTCGTTTATTTAATTTACACGCTTTTATGAATTTT